TATTTATTTCTTAAACAATATATTGTTTCAAACTGCAAAAATGTCAACAAAAGTCACTTAATTAAACTTTACATTTAAATTTAAACATCAGGGAAGATTTTGAGGTCCTTTAATGTTTTTAAAAGTGTAAATAAAAGAAAAACAGCCTTGAATCACATAAAGGAAACTTGATTAACATTTTTTGGAGAATATTAAAGTATATTTGTGGTAAAAATGCTGCCTTGTAATATCTATTTTAAAAAAGTTTCTATATGAGGAATGATGGTAGAACATCCAAGATAAAAATAAATCTATAAATTATGTTTCCATATAATATATAAAAAAGTGGAGTCATTTAAAAACAAACTTTACAATTGACAAATCAAAGGCAATTATAAATAAATCTGATAATAAGTTGCAGCAAAAAAATTATAATCTTTCAAAAGCTTAATTTTTTTAATAAATCATTCAATATATCATAGCATCTTGTCTCTCTTTTCATATTTCAATATAAAGTAAATCAGTAACAACCGTATTTATGAGCTGTATGTGTTTGTTCAGTGCAGGTCTGTATTGTTATAACAACTAATGCTTTTTTCAATCACTCTTTATATAGAAAGAATTCGGTTTCTCTTGGCCTTTGTCCTCCTGACGATGTTGTAAAAATACTCTACAAGATTCCTAGCCTGCGAATGTTGCTTCTTTTCTGACACCTAATTAAGTTATGGCTGTGTTTCACAGAGGTGTGTGTGCATGTGGCCCGGCCCAGACTAAGACTGAAATAACACACGGTAGAAACCCACTTACATTTCAACAGATCCACCCAGTCCTAATTCACTCTCTACCAAAACACAGCTGAATTATTGGTTACACACGTTTTTTATAAAAACACTATATACTACACAGACAAAAAAACTAATATTGACACAACATTACAAGCTTAAAAATGGTTTCTACCTGCCTCTGTAATGAAACATTATAGGACCTTACTGATGAATACAACTTCATACATGTCTACCACTGCGCACATGTTACTAAACTCAAGATACTGCTTTGACGTGCAATGTTCATGCAATGTGAGGAATTGATATAAATCCCTAGCCTCAGATTTTGCTCCTCAACACAGGATATTCTTCAGTTTTTTCATTTTTACGTTTAGTTCTATCAGATTCACTATAATGTAAGTGCAACGCAGCCAGTGCATCAAAACAGGTATTGTAAAAAAATAAATAAAAATAAAAATAAAAAATTTAATAAATAAAAATCAGTAGACTTTTTCCCCTCAATTTAAAGACCAAAAAACTATAGTTTTACTATCACACGACATGAACTATTTTATTAAAACACCATTTATTTCAGAAATGATTCTTTATAATGATTATATATTGTTTTTAATATCACTTTTTTTGTCAACGTTAATAATGCAACTAATTTAGAAATTCAAAGATAAAATAAAATAAACAAACAAACAAGTAATGTGAGCAAATAAGTGAGCAAGGAAAGTAAGCAAGTGTGCAAATACGTTACTTAATAAAAAAATTAAGTAAGTAAAATAAGGTAAAATTAAAAATAAAAGTCAAGTAAAGGTAAAAGTAAAGTATGCAAGTAAGTAAAGAAAGTATTATAATTAAAGTGAAGTAAATTAAGCACGTAAAGTAAGAAGTAAGTAAAGAAAATTACGCAAGTAAAGAAAGTAAAGCAAGTAAAGCAAGTAAGTGATGTGAAGTGAGTAAGTAAAGTAAGAAGTAAATCAAGTAAGTACGTAAAGTAAGGTGAAATGAGTAAAGTAAGCAAAGTGAGTAAAGTAAGTAAAGTAAAGAGTAAAGTATGCAAGAGAAGAAAGGTAGGTAAGTGAAGTACGTAAAGTGAGTAAAGTGAAGGAAAGTAAGTGAAGAAAATTAAGTACATTCGTAAAATGAAGTAAAGTACGTAAAGTAAGTGAAATGAGTAAAGAAAAGTATGTAAGTAAATAAAGTAATGTAAGTGAAGTAAATCAAGTAAGTAAGTAAAGTGAAGTGAGTAAAGTAAGCAAAGTGAGTAAAGTAAGTATGCAAATGAAGAAACTTAAGTAAAGTAAGTAAAGTGAGTAAAGTGAAGTAAAGTAAGTGAAGAAAATTAGGTATATACGTAAAATGAAGTAAAGTACGTAAAGTAAGTGAAATGAGTAAAGAAAAGTATGTAAGTAAATAAAGTAAAATAAGTGAAGTAAATCAAGTACATGAAGTAAAGTGAAGTGAGTAAAGTAAGCAAAGTGAGTAAAGTAAGTATGCAAGTGAAGAAACTTAAGTGAAGTAAGTAAAGTGAGTAAAGTGAAGTAAAGTAAGTGAAGTAAATTAAGTACATACGTAAAGTGAAGAAAAGTCCGTAAAGTAAGTGAAGTGAAGAAGTGAAGTGAGTAAAGTAAATAAAGTAAGTGAGGTAAGTAAATTAAGAACGTAAAGTAAATGAAGTAAAATAAGTGAAGTGAAGTAGTAGTAGTAGTAGTAGTAGTAGTAGTAGAATTTGCTCTTCAGTGTTTGGACTCTCAGTAATGACTTTAAACCACACTGAACTGAGCTGAACTGAACTGAACTTAAACACTAAAAACTGAACTACCCTGATCCAGTTACTATGACCATTTATGTGAAGCTGCTTTGACACAATCTACATTGTAAAAGCGCTATACAAATAAAGCTGAATTGAATTGAATAGTAGTAGTAAACTTTATTGTCCTTGACAGGAAATTTGTTATGGGCATCACCATATTTCTGTAGACATTCCATAAAAACAAGCAATAAAAAACAATACAAAAATACAGTAATTGAGTACAGTAAGCAAAATAAGTGAAGTCATTTAAGTACGTAAAGTAAAGTGAGTACGTAAAGTAAGTGAAGTGATGTAATTAAAGTGAGTAAAGTAAGTAAAGTAGGTAAAGTATGCAAGTGAAGAAAGGTAAGTGAAGTAAGTAAAGTGAAGTAAAGGAAGTAAAGTACATTAAGTACATACGTAAAGTGAAGTAAAGTGAAGTGAGTAAAGTAAATCAAGTAAGTGAGGTAAGTAAATTAAGTACTTAAAGTAAATAAGGTAAATTAAGTACGTAAAGTAAATTAAGTAAATTAAGTAAAGTAGTAGTAGTAGTAGTAGTAGTAAACTTTATTGTCAACGTTAATAATGCAACTAATTTAGAAATTCAAAGATAAAATAAAATAAACAAATACACAAATAAGTAATGTTAGTAAGTGAGCAAGGAAAGTAAGCAAGTGTGCAAATACGTTAGGCAAAAATTAAGTAAGTAAAATAAGGTAAAATTAAAAATAAAAGTCAAGTAAAGGTAAAAGTAAAGTATGCAAATAAGTAAACAAAGTATTGTAATTAAAGTGAAGTAAATTAAGCACGTAAAGTAAGTGAAGTAAGTAAAGAAAAGTACGCAAGTAAAGAAAGTAAAGTAAGTAAAGCAAGTAAGTGATGTGAAGTGAGTAAAGTAAGTAAAGTTAGAAGTAAATCAAGTAAGTACGTAAAGTAAGGTGAATTGAGTAAAGTAAGCAAAGTGAGTAAAGTAAGTAAAGTAAAGAGTAAAGTATGCAAGAGAAGAAAGGTAGGTAAGTGAAGTACGTAAAGTGAGTAAAGTGAAGGAAAGTAAGTGAAGAAAATTAAGTACATACGTAAAATGAAGTAGGTAAAGTAAGTGAAATGAGTAAAGAAAAGTATGTAAGTAAATAAAGTAAAGTAAGTGAAGTAAATTAAGTAAGTAAGTAAAGTAAAGTGAAGTAAGTAAAGTAAGCAAAGTGAGTAAAGTATGCAAGTGAAGAAACTTAAGTGAAGTAAAGTGAGTAAAGTGAAGTAAAGTAAGTGAAGAAAATTAAGTATATACGTAAAATGAAGTAAAGTACGTAAAGTAAGTGAAATGAGTAAAGAAAAGTATGTAAGTAAATAAAGTAAAGTAAGTGAAGTAAATCAAGTAAGTAAAGTAAAGTGAAGTGAGTAAAGAAAGCAAAGTGAGTAAAGTAAGTATGCAAGTGAAGAAACTTAAGTGAAGTAAGTAAAGTGAGTAAAGTGAAGTAAAGTAAGTGAGGTAAATTAAGTACATACGTAAAGTGAAGAAAAGTCCGTAAAGTAAGTGAAGTGAAGAAGTGAAGTGAGTAAAGTAAATAAAGTAAGTGAGGTAAGTAAATTAAGAACGTAAAGTAAAGTGAAGTAGTAGTAGTAGTAGTAGTAGTAGTAGAAGAATTTGCTCTTCAGTGTTTGGACTCTCAGTAATGACTTTAAACCACACTGAACTGAGCTAAACTGAACTGAACTTAAACACTAAAAACTGAACTACACTGTTCCAGTTACTATGACCATTTATGTGAAACTGCTTTGACACAATCTACATTGTAAAAGCGCTATACAAATAAAGCTGAATTGAATTGAATAGAAGTAATAAACTTTATTGTCCTTGACAGGAAATTTGTTATGGGCATCACCATATTTCTGTAGACATTCCATAAAAACAAGCAATAAAAAACAATACAAAAATACAGTAAGTGAGTAAAGTAAAGTAAAATAAGTGAAGTCATTTAAGTACGTAAAATATAGTAAAGTAAGTAAAGTAAGCAAGTGAAGTAAATTAAGTACGTAAAGTAAAAATTAAAGTAAATAAAGGCAAGTACAGTAAGTGAATTAAGTAAATTAAGTAAGTACGTAAAGTAAGTATAGTAAATAAAGTAAGTGAAGAAGTAAAGTAAAAGTAAATTAAAGTAAGTAAAGTAAGTAAATTATGTAAAGTAAGTAAAGTGATGCAAGTGAAGTGAGTAAAGTAAGAAAGTAAAAAAAGCAAACAAGTAAGCAAAGTCAGGAACACGAGTAAGGGTAGTAAGTAAAGTATAAGCAAGTAACTAAGTAAAAGTAAGTACAGTAAATACAACAAGTATTTAAGTAAACAAGTAAGTAAGTGTTTTGTTTTTAAGGATCAGCCAAAGAGACGTTAGTGAGCATACAGCTTCAGCTCATGGTGTTGTGAGTTTCATGCAGTTGTGAATGAGTTATGTACAGGTCAGTACCTGGCTCTTACTGCACTCGTGTGGAGCGTCGCCGTGAACCGTCATCTGGTAGCGGGCATAGAGCGCCGCTGACTGCTCGTATGATGCCATGAAATCCGGCTCCTCAAAGCTGACCGGCACTAGCCTCACCTTCAGAGTGATGGAGGGAGGGATGATTAGAGGGAGGAGAACAAACGCCATGGAGGACAAGATGAGTTAAGAGAAGAGAAGAGGAACAATGGATGGAAAATAGATGGAGCATGATTGGTGGGTATGGAAATGAGAGGAGGATGATAATAAAAAACAAGGTGTTGATAAAAGGGGAGTGGTTAATGCAGGAATAACAATGTAATGATATAAACAGCACCGTATACATCAGATGTTCAGTGGGTTCCTATTCACTGTTCTTACCACAAACTCATAAATGAACTACACTGTAAAAATGCTGGGTTCTACACATTCGATTTGACAATATGAAATTAAGGTAACTTCTTGTTAGTTTTTACTAATTTAAGTTGATTTAACATAAAAAAATTGAGTCGTCTAAAAAAAACTTCAAGAATTGAGTTGATTAAGCTTATTTTAAATAAGTACTTTGAACAACTTAAATTTTCCTGAGTGTATTTTAAAACTGATCCATATCAGACAGTGGTAATAACAAAAACATTCACAGCAATTCACTCACTTTTTAAATTAAGGGCTTAATATGTTTAACTTTGTATGAAGCAAGAGATCACAATGACATTTGATAACATGTGCAGGTGCTGTAGTGCTGTCCCAATTCTTAGGGGTAAAATTTGAAGCCCTTCCCCTTCACACTCGGTTTTAAGGCCCAAGGGGAAGGGGAAAGGGTAGGGGTACAAAAATAGAATTGGGATTGGGCCTAAGTAAAGTACTAAACACATCAGTTCTGTTCAGACTGTTAGTCTTGCATATGAAATTAGTTTAAAACAGAACTAAATTTGTCAGATTCTATCTTTTAAAAAATTGTAAATATGAACCCAAATATCTTAGTCATTCCTTTTAAATCAGCATTTTACAATCGCTTCCAACTATTTAAAACAAAAAGTTACTAAGTCTGTCTCCAAATACAATACTGGCTAATAGTATACTGTAAAACCCAAAAAGTTCAGGTAACTCAAACCTAGTCCTAAAGCCTAGTTCACACTACAGGATTTTAAACATCAGCAGATCGCTGTGCCGTTCACACTACATGACCTGACTTTGTGTCTTTTAATCTCTGTGGTGTTCACACTACGCAACACTCTGTGAATGATCCACAAGAGGAGGGTCACACACTACATGATCTGACAACAACTCATTCCCCATCAGCTCATTCAAGCTACCAAACCACAGCCAATGAAATTTTGAGGGAGGAGTCGTCAGAAAAAAGCTGAACACTATTGGCTGCTTGTGTGCTGATGACATCACTGACAGCGTTTCAAGCTTTAGAGAAAGCATTTAAAAACATCGTCAAATCAGCTGATTTATCAGCGCATTAATCACTCATCTGCAGGTTCCAGTGGATAGATACACAGAGAGTTTTTAATTTTTGTAATTTTATAACTCTTTGAAATAAAACTAACATATTTATAACACCCTGCCGTTTTCTAACTATTAGTGTATTTCTTTCTGACATTGTTATTTTTTTTTATTACAAAACAGTAAAGAACTGAGCATTTCTGCCTTAAATTACCATATTGGTTAAAATGACTGCATGCATGTCTGACACTTTTCACTGTGACTTAAAATATGTGTGCATTTTCTTGCCTAGCAACTTCCTGCTAACATAAACAAAACTTTCTGATGGCAAAAACATCAATTTACATAAAACATCAATTTACTTCAGATATCTTTAAAAACAGCATATTCTGTGCTGTGAAATAGCTCCTGTTTGAAAGTGTAAATGAAAGCCAAGATCTTTAAGTGTTTTAGTATCTTAACTACATATTTATAGGCTGTATTACAAAAAAAAGATGATATTTTTAGGGTAATGGTGTCATTAAATATGATGCCAGACATTCAAAGCTTAATTTTAATATATCAATAATAGCTTTGAATGTAAATATGTTGTGACAATATGGCGTTTTATATAAGAACCGTCAGAATGAGCAGTATGGTAATTCTAATAGTAACAGAATTCTAGTTCCACTGTTAATATAGCCTACTCTCATGTCTGTGCTAACGCAGAATGAAGCGAGTGCACCGATGCCCATTCTGACCAATCACAGATGTTTCTGCTGAGCTCCTGAACACACAGGCACGCGGCTCATGCTGATATGCTCTCTCATTGGCTGCAGCTCGTCACTACATCTGACCACACGTGGGGTTGAGTCGGCCGACTGCTCTGGAATATTTAGCATGCTGAATGTTGGATTTCCGTCTGCGAGGTGTCGGCGACGCGTCAGCGAGCCTCGTTGATGCGTTGTTCAGTAGTTCACACATAAAGAGCGGCGAGCGCCGTGCACCCGCAGATTTCTTCCCGATCACAGCCCGATCTGTCGGCGAGCTCGTTAACTTCCAAATCGGGCTCAAATCAGGCTTAAATCCTCTAGTGTGAACTAGGCATAAGGAGTACTGTGAACTTAATCCATTTGAGTGCAAATGAAGCAATTTGAGCACAGTAAAACCCAATATATGAAGAGAACTCAAACCAAAGGAGTACTGTAAAAGCCAATAAGTTAAGGCAACTCAAACCATTTGAGGAAACCGGTTGCTACAAACCATTGGAGTTAAAAGACTAATCAATATGAGTACTGTAAACTACTGTTATCTATATGAGTACTGGTTTAACTCCATTAAAGTTGAAGTAATGAGGTATATAATTAACTTATCAAATGAGTAGAATTAACTTTCAGTCACATTTGAGTTAACTAGACTCATTTCGTTTGATAAAGTTGACTGTTGGGTTTTACAGTGTAGTGATCTTATTGGTCTGATTAGGGTAATAAACAGTAAAATTGGATTGAAAACCCATGCTCTGCTTCTCTTTATACTTAAAAACATGTTGCTTGTTTTTTTTTTTTGTTTTTATGTTAGGAAAAGGGAATTGCATGAAAGGTAATGTGTGTTATGGAGGGTGAATGTTGGGGAACGGGGGGCTGAAGGTGAGGCTGGTGCACTGGGGCCGTGAAGCTCAGCTCAAGGCTAAAATCACATGGACTCAAACAGACTGTCAATAAACCTGATGAACTACAGATTAACACTTTGTGCAGAGAGGGCAGGAGGTTCAGTCCCTTGACTGAGGGAAAAAAAGGCTTGCTCTATCTCTTCTGATGAATTTGGCACACAAAAATCAGCAGTCTGAACCAAAAATAATACACTGTAGAAAGTGAAAGTTATTAAAAAGTGAGTTAAGCCGTTGCCTTACATGAGACAAGTTGACTTTACTTAAAAAAAAAAAATTTGAGTAAACGAATTTTAACTTGAAACTTGAGTCAACTTCATTCATTGATTCATTCACTTTCCTTTGGCTGTCTTTGAAATCAGAGGTTGCCACAGCGGAATGAACCACCAACTATTCCAGGATATGTTATATGAAGCGGATGCCCTTTCAGCCACAACCCAGTACTGGGAAACACCCATACACACTCATTCTCATACACTACGGCAAATTTAGTTTACCCAATTGACTTTACTTTAAAAAAATTGAGTAAACAAATTTTAACTTGAAACTGCTGAGTCAGCTTCATTCATTGATTCATTCACTTTCCAGTCACACTTTACAATAAGGTTCATTAGTTAATGTTAATTAATGCATTTACTAACATGAACAAACAATGAACAATGCATTTACCACTGTATTTGTTTATATTAGTTAACGTTAGTTAATGAAAACAAAGTAGTTCATTGTTAGTTTATGTTAACTCATGGTGCATTAACTAATGTTAACAAGCATGGACTTAGTTCATGTTAGTAAATGCATTAACTAATGAACCTTATTGTAAAGTGTTACCCACTTTCCTTTGGCTTAGTCGTTGAGATCAGAGATTGCCACATTGGAATGAACCACCAACTATTCCAGGATATGTTATATGAAGCGGATGCCCTTTCAGCCACAACCCAGTACTGGGAAACACCCATACACACTCATTCTCATACACTACGGCAAATTTAGTTTACCCAATTGACCTATAGCGCATGTGTTTGAACTAGAGGAAACCCACACCAACACAGGGAGAACATGCAAACTCCACACAGTAATGCCAACTGGCCCAGCCAGGGCTTGAACCAGCGACCTTCTTGCTGTAAGGCGACAGTGCTAACCACTGAGTCATTGTGCCGCCCAGTTGACTTAATTTTTATAATTATGTACATAGAGCATGTATTTAATTTTAAGATAACTGGCTTACTCACTTTTTTTAAAGTAACGTCAACTAATTACTTTTTACAGTAGTAAGGCATTAATCACGACACACATTCACAAACAATCCTTGGTAAACTTGTTATAAAAAAATAATTAAAAGTCGATAAGTGAGAGCAGAGTGTATAGCAAAAAAGCAGATATAAAAATGTAACACCAATCAATCCAACCCCAAAGCAAAAAAAAAAGTCCATGCACAGATTTCTAGATACTCTACACTACGTTTTTGTTGTATTTTACGCTCATTTGTGAGACAAAAACACATTATCAAACAAATTAATTCCTTAATGAAAGGGTTTTCGCGCTTGCAATTCAGTTCTCATTCCTTTAGAGCAGAGGTTCTCAAAGTGGGGGTCGGGACCCCCCGAGGGGTCGCGGGACAATGAAGGGGGGTCGCCTGGTGATTTTCAAAAATCAATTAATTTTTATGAAACCTTAAGACTTACTGTATTTTATCAATAACCTACTGAAGAGAAAAAAATAGTCGTTTATAGTTACTATAAACTATATAGTTACTATAGTAGCTTATAGTTACTAGTTCTATTGGATTGCGATATCTCAGGTAATTACATTATACTAAAGACACAGCAATACTGTCAGATGCAGCAGATTTTGTAACAGTAGGTTAAACTTTCTAGCCCATTTACAACACTGACATACATTAAAAAAAAACAAAGAATAGACTTGGGTCTATTGGTGTGTTTGTGCGCGTCATTGCATACAAGGTTTCTGTATGTATAACCACCACCTCAGAGGATATTGGGGGTCACGAGTCACTGGCATTGTCATTTTGGGGGTCGCGGGCTGAAAAGTTTGGGAACCCCTGCTTTAGAGGAAGATGCTTGACTGAAATTGCTAGCTAGTTTTAAAAAAAAAGGAAATGTGAAGGGAAAATACCCATGTAAGAACTCAAACATCTCAACAGCAACAAACTCCTTTTACATGAACACCTGTAGAAACACTGCCTGCTCATGAGTGCGGATAAGAGCGTTTTCCTCATTTCCTTTTAGCTGTTCTCTCTCTCCCTCACTCTCTGTTCAGGATTACATTCATACCGTTTCATGAAGTTTCCATGGCTTACCTCCAGCTTCTGACTTCTTTAGCCTTCGCTCAGTTCCAGTCTGTTTGCGCTTAGTTCGCTATTAAAGGAACACTACACTTTTATTTTGGAAATAGGCTCGTTTTAAAACTTGCCTAGAGTTAAACAGTTGAGTTTCACTATCTTTGAATCCATTCAGAAGATTTCCCGTGTGGTGAGAAATCGCCCCCCCCCCCCCCCCTGCAATCGAGTCCGCTTAGGCCCCAATGAATCGTCTGCGTTGAATGCCTGATCAATCACTCTTGTACTTCTCCGCATTACAATAATATTTGGTGCTTTTTATAGTCTATTCTCAGTCTTGAGATTGCAACAACACTAACCATGTTAGTAACATTATTATTGGTAACTGTAAGTTAAAGATATGCATGGTTAAAATAACTGAATTGTTTCTAAACATTAAATGATTTTTTTATGTTATGTATTTATATGTAACATTATATATTTACATGAGAAGTGGTCACATGTCATAGGCTATCTAAAACATATATATACATATATATATATATATATATATATATACATATATATATATATATATATATATATATATATATACATATATACATATACATATATACATATACATATATACATATACATATATACATACACATATATATATATATATATATTTATTTATTTATTTATTTTATTTATTTATTTTTTTTTATCAGGCGCTACAAAATATACCTATTACAACTCCAGTGAACCAATAAGAACCTAGGCGGACCCAATTGTCAGGGGGAGACCAGAATTCTCATGACCGGGTCTGGCAGGAGCACTTTTAGCTTAGCTTAGCATAAATTATTGGATCAGATTAGACCATTAGCATTTGTTTAAAAAAAAAAAAAAAAACGTTTGAAAGGAGTTTCAATAGTTTTTCTATTTAAAGCTCGTCTCTTCTGTAGTTACATCCTGTAGTAAGACGGACGAAAAATGACAAATAAGAAAAATGAGAAGTTTGTTGCAACGATCTTACTGAAATCCCTTACCCCAGAGATTTTCCCCCCTCAGGGAGACCCTCAAGTTAAATTACTGAAGGACTTTCATGCAAGCAGCCACAGGTGTCGATTGTAAATGACGTCACTTGAGGAAACGCGGTTGCCTGAGCATGCAAGTCTAAGCGTATGTTCACACCGAAAGCGGCGAGAGCGTCAAAGTAGCCGGAAGTCATTCATTTTTAATGAGAGACGGCAGCGATAAGCGGCGAGGAGCGGCGTGGCTGTGGAGGAGAGTTGAAATCAAGTCAACTTTATGGTAATGAGCTATGACGCAGTTCGGCGGCAAGAAATAAGTATGAAGACGTCCAACGCTTGATAGGAGTTCAGAGAACACAGACCTGTGAACTTTGGCTCCGAACACAGTTGTTCCCAAAAGGGTTTGATGATTGTGGTCGCCGGATTTCCAATTATTCACAATCTTTTCTTACAGGAACATGCATTAGATAAGTTAATGGCGAGTTACTGATGTTCATTTATGTTATATAAATTTATCTTAAAAAAGCGGGAATCTCACGCAACGTGACAGTACAAAACAGACATATGAACACATATTGGATAAATAGAGCAAAGCCACACCACACGCAACTTGATCGTCCATTGTTATATGAATTTGATAAGAAGTGCGCAACATTTTCACTTTAGAAACATGTTTTATGCAGGAATGTAACTGATATGCTGCAACGGCTCCTTTAAATTTGAGATCAATGTAGCGGGTTTTGACGAACTCGCTGTCAGAGCTGAAGGCAGACAACGTTGTCGCCAGGGCGGACAGAGCGACCCTGGACGCTCTCGCCGCTTTTGTTGTGAACGTACAGTAAGAGTGCAAGCCTAAAGGTGCAAGTACAAATCTGCAGCCAGATTCTATTGGTTTAATTTCTGAATGTTTATAAACAAATTTGAATAATTAAGTAAGTTAATCTCTTTTCAGTTCTTTTTTTTTTTACTAACACTCACTGTGTTCTAGCAGTAAGACGCTACGATACAGAATATTAAGCTGAAGCTTGACTACAAAATTCAATGGCGCAGTAGGTAGCACTGTCGCCTCACAGCAAGAAGGTCGCTGGTTCGAGCCTCGGCTGGGTCAGTTGGTAATTCTGTGTGGAGTTTGCATGTTCTCTCAGTGTTGGCTTGGGATTCCTCCAGATGCTCGGGTTTCCCCCACAAGTCCAAAGACATGCGGTCATGGCCGGGGCGTCCATAGAGGCGACCTAGACGGCCGCCTAGGGCGGCATTATAGAGAGGGCGGTCTCCGCAACATCTCTCTTACCACCCACGTCCTCACATATATTCGCGCATAGACGACCGATTAGAGAGGGCGGCGTCAGCGACACCTCCATCAGCACCCACGTGTCCTCAGTTATATCCACGCATACGGCGGCAGAATTGAGGTCCGCGACACCCGCGCGTCCTCAGTTATATCCACGCATAGGGCGGCAGAATGAAGAGCGCAGTGTCCGCGACACCTCCCTCCCTCAGCACCCACGCGTCCTCAGTTATATCTGCACATAGTGCGCCAGAAAAGAGGTCAGCGACACCTCACTTCATTTTCATAACCGGTCACTTTCGTTTTCACATTGGGGTTGAGGGCAGCATGATCGTCCTCTGCCTAAAGCGGCAGTTCAGTTTGCTCCAGCCCTGCATGCGGTACCGGTAAATTGGGTATGTTAAAATTGTCCGTAGCGTATGCGTGTGAATGAGAATGTATGGGTGTTTCCCAGTGATGGATTGCAGATCGAAGGGTATCCGCTGCGTAAAACATATGCTGGATAAGTTGTCGGTTCATTCTCCTGTGGCGACCCCAGAATAATAAAGGGACTAAGAAAATTAATAAATTGCAATTAGATATTTTCCCCAAATCGCACAGCCCTAATGTCCACTCATCATAAGCCGTTTTGATCGATGCATCAACTATACACACATTTCTCAAAATATAATTATTTTAAAGACTATATTAGGAGCATGGCCATGTCAAATGTGCTCAACGGACCCTCAGCTTTGGATTCCCTGACCTGGCTCTCGCTTGGTTTGTCAGGCGGGTCCTCGTGAATAGCCATCTGGTAGAGTTTGTACACTTGGTATGAGGCGTCAAACGAAGCTTTGAACTGTGGACTGGGAGGGTTGGAGCGCACCAGCCTCACCTTCAACATGAGGATGAGCGTCAGAGGGTTGAACAGTAGAAAAAAAAAGACTCTTTCCAAAAAACATGCCAAGAAAAGGTTATAGCACAGCACTGGAGGAAAACAGTGAGCATGGAACATCTTAAGATTTGGAATGGAAACAGAATAAAGAGTCGAATATATGCATTTCATTTCATAGCATATTGGTGAATCTAGAGAAATGGGTCAAAAACATGTCAGACCTTATTTTGGTTAATACATTTGCAATAGGGCTGCACAATTAGGCCTGTTATGATATCTATCTGCTTGTTAAGTGTGACGTCACGCGAAGTGGCTTCCGGGTCAAAGCGCTTTATACAACAGTATTGAGAGACTCATGAAATGGTATTTATAAACATTTTCAAAGCAATATAATACTTTTGAATATATATATATATATATATATATATATATATATATATATATATATATATATATATGTACATACCTAATATCCAATGGCCAGAAAGGGATAAATTTTTTTATAAATTGTTAAATTTTTGGTATTTGTGATGCAGCAAGCCCAGAGATTGTTGTGTACACTATGACTTTATATAAAATTAACTTCTATGTGTGATATGAATTAAAAGCGATCATAAACAAATAGTTTCTCAACTCAAATGAGTGGCGCTTGGACCCGGAAACAGTATTACATACGTCACCAACACGTCATCACTTAACAAGCGGATTTTTGTTGTGTGATATATTGCACCAAAATGTATCTCGATAAACAATATTATTGTCAAGGAAATGACAATATAATAGCATTATAATGCAATTACACTCTTCCAAACACATCATGTTTTATTCTAGAGAATATTTCACCTAATTATAGTCATTATAATAATTGAATAATGAGACATTTAAATCAGAATGTGAAACCCATATCCTAAACAAAAAAATAATAAATGTTGATATCATAAAAAGGTTATGCACCCGCATGAAAATATACTATAGTAAATACTAGTGTTTTTATCCATACTGACACTGACACCTAAAATATTGATAGAGACGTTGCATAATCAATTAAAACGTTGCTAGAACTGGCTTTGGCTTTTATTTAAGGGTGATATATATATATATATATATATATATATATATATTGCATCACCAAAAATTATTGACGTCATGTTAATAAAAATGTATAGTATATAACTATTTATACAATGAACACTACCTGACAAAAGTCTTGTCGCAAATCCAAGTTTTAGAAATACCAAATAATAACTTGACTTCTAGATCATTTGGTATCAGAAGTGGCTTATATGAAAGGCAAAGGCCTCTAGATGACGCTTATTTTACCAAAATTAAATATGATCATGTCTTCATTTTTAATGATTTCATTAGGACAGTTATGTCTGACTTTGCTTAGACAAAAGTCTTGTCAAAAATAATGTCCAGTATAGAATATAAAGTCATGCTGCAGTGGAAACAGAATGAATATTGTGTCTGACTCCACCATGAGCTTGGAGGACTGCATCCATACATCTCTGCACTGACTCAAATCACTGATTAATAAAGTCATCTGGTATGGCAAAGAAAGCATTCCTGCAGGACTCCCAGAGTTCATCAAGATTCTTTAGATTCATCTTCAATGCCTCCATCTTACTCCAGATATGCTCAATAATGTTTGTATCTGGTGACTGGACAGGCCAATCCTGAAACACCTTGACCTTCTTTGCTTTCAGGAGCTTTGATGTGGAGGCTGAAGTATGAGAAGGAGCGCTATCCTGCTGGAGAATTTGCCCTCTCCTGTGGTTTGTAATGTAATGGGCAGCACAAATGTCTTGATACCTCAGGCTGTTGATGTTGCCATCCACTCTGCAGATCTCTCGCACACCCCCATACTGAATGTAACCCCAAACCATGATTTTTCTATCACCAAACTTGATTGATTTCTATGAATCTTGGGTCAATGAAGTATTTGTCATGACTAGGATGCTGTTCAACTGATGATTCGCCGGATAAATCTACCTTCTGCCACTTTTCCAAATGATCAACTAGAAATCAAGTTATTATTTGTTGCTCGTACAACTGGGATATGCGACAAGACTTATAGTGTACAGTGTTATTTTACTATGCATACAATTATTCAATTTTTGTACCTGAATACTGTTTGACTCCCAAAAGAAACAAAGCTCTACTGTATTTATCTATACTTTTTAAATTGCTTTTCATATTTTATACATGATTCACACCCAAAATAATCCCAAATCAGTCTAAATAAATAAAGTCTTTCCTCGCAATTCAAGCTAGCTGGTGAAACTATATTTATACCTGCAAATATAAAAATTGCAGAAAAAATAAATATCGAAAAGTCATATTTTTCCAATATCATGCAGCCCTAATATGCAATAATGTAATAATCCAATTGTGCATGTGTTTTTGTAAGATTCACGTATTCATCTACAAATCAGTGGTCCTAATTGTATAGGTTAAAATACAGACCCCAGCAAGAGAAGAAAACATTTCGCAAAATGGAATAAAAAAAAAAACACACATATTCAATATATTATTATATTGCTTGTTTGGGTGAAATTCAGCATGAGTTCAGCAGGTAAACATGATAAATCGCATACCCAGGAGGAAATTTAAAAGATTTAAACACTGTTATTCAATTATAACATATGGCAGTAATAGGTTTGACCTAATAATACACTTTCCGTAACGCAATTAGTGTTTTCGCTCAACAGACTTGAGAAGAACGTCACCGTCTCTGTTCACTGATAATGAACAACCTCCTTGTCTTCCATGTAATGCAAACTGTGGAGAAGCAGAACATATGACTGACTTCCTGTTCTAATGATTAAACACAGACCTGCAGTGAATCTGTCTCAAAGTGTCTCCTTACTGTGTACTGTTACAAAGGAAACTTTTCTTTTTTTTTTTACGAGAATTGCACTGGCTTTTATTAAATCACATTAGCAACCAAAGACAAACAAGTGGGCGGGAAGTCAAAACTAATTTTCATGTGAAGCAACACACCCCTAAAACAGCGAGCTGTGTAAACGTCCCCAAAATAACACTTTTTAATACATTATAATAGAAAATCTGAATCGTGTTTTGAACTGAAACTAAACTGGCACACTCAGAAGAACCATAATATTAATATTAAATCATAAAAGAGGGGTAAACTATGTGCCCTTTAAATGCTACCTTCTATGTGAAGGTATCGCTTTTACGGTTCCTCTTATTTGATTGGATGTGAGCGCCTAATTTTTTTCCGTAACCGGGCCAATAGCCAGGACAGTAAAGAGACGGCAACATGGCAGCAACATCAAGTTATGAGCCTAAAAGATAATGTACAGTATAAGTCAGAATTATTAGCCCCCCTTTGAATGTTTGTTGCTTTTTTTTTTTTATATTTCCCATATAATATTTAACAGAGCTTTAATTTTTCAGAGCAAGGAAATTTTCACAGCATGTCTGATAATGTATTTTCTTCTGGAGAAAGTCTTATTTGTATTATTTCGGCTAAAATAAAAGCAGTTATTAAATTTTTAAACACCATTTTAAGGACAAAATTATTAGCCCCTTAAGCTAATTTTTTTATTCGATAGTCTACAGAAAAAACCATCAATATAAAATAACTTACCTAATAACCCTAACCTGCCTAGTTAACCTAAATAACTGAGTTAAGCCTTTAAATGTCACTTTAAGCTGTATAGAAGTGTCTTGAAAAATATCTAGTAAATAATTATTTACGGTCATCATGGCAAAGATAAAACAAATCAGTTATTAGAGATGAGTTTTTAAAACTATTACGATTAGCAATGTGTTAAAGAAATCAGCTGTCTGTTAAACAGAAATAGGGGAAAAAATAAACAGGGGATCTAATAATTTAGGGGGGTTAATAATTCTGACTTCAATTGTATGTCTAATGTCTTGGAAGCAGACATTTATGTTGGTACAACTCGATGAAATAAATGAAGTGATGTTTTGCAAAGTTTGCCGTTAGTTTGGCAAGCCAGCCACCTTTTGTTATATAATTTAGAAGTGCAATAAAATACCTGCACATTTTCCATACTGCTCTTTTCCAGTTTTATGCTTTGTTTCCATAAAACTTTGAATTTTATTCATCATACATTTATTAATATGTTGAAAATATTTCAATTCTAGATTCACAGACTTTTTTTTTTTTGACACATTATTTTAAAATATGTGGCTCAGAAATAGCTATTAACTTATTATTTTTTTAATTTTGGCAGGACAAGTAAAAATCGGGCCCAGTAGAAAAAAAACTGAACCCTGGACTTTATTTTAACGCTGAAAATAAAAGGACGATTAAAATCAAAATTGATGGCAGAATAGAAAGACCTAAAGCTCATTGGACGTCCTGCATGAATAGTGTAAAGTCTGACATCAGTTTGAAGTGAACTGTGTGGGATCAGACGCTATGTTTGATTAGTAAAACGGAGCTTGACATCTAACAGGATCATCTGTGTTTGCACAAGGACAAACTGGCCTCAGAAGCAAGGCGGCAAATCAAAATTCGATCCTCCGAAAAAACATTTAATTGTCTGGGTGAAGCTGTTCCTAATTAAAGGACCTCTCGCAGAGACGTTTTCATTGGACGAGGTGCTCACGATTCACAACTTCCCCAGAAGAGCACGACTCGGGGATTGAGCTTCAGTGTTATTTTATTTTGGCTCTCATGGAAGATCTCTTATTATTGCTTGGCCGAGTTAATGAAGATATTTGCGACTTTTGTTTCAGATAAACATTAGTTGAGTCTTTTAATCTGCCGGCCGATTCTCTAGAGATGCAGACGTTTGATTAAGTGTGTGAGGAGTAACCAAGACAAAGAGAGCGCAGCGCTGTCAAAACAGCTCGGAGATCTCAAATTATGCAGGGGGTGAAAGAGGGCAGAAGAACCGGGGGTTTGAAGAGATATTCAACATGGAGGAAAGTTATAATGTGCCTCTACTGCCATCTGCAGGTGTCCACTGTCGAAAATATTAGTATAATACACTGTAAATAAA